ATCAGCAGTTGAAATAGCTACCTTATTTGCTCAAATTGGTCCAGCTCGACTACCCGTGACTTTCAACTTTCTTTCCCTTGCAATTCTATTGGCCTTCACTTGTCTCTGTGTTGGCAAATATTATAGCAATTCCAAGTTTCTTACGATGGCTCGAACATCGGAACAACTGGCCCGCTTTTTCATGGTGACAGCCTTTTTCATAGCCATTGCAATTCCGTTTCCTGTGTGGCTCCAATGCTGTACGGGGGCCGTTTATGGCATCTCCTTTCTATCTATTCTACTCTGCAATCTCTTTTGACTCCGTTGAGCTTGGTACATTAATTATCAGCTGAAACCTATACGTCGCCGCATCAATTGATTGGTGATTTCTTTGGACGGAAACCATTATTTGGTTGTATATAAGTTTCAACAAAGTCATGCAAATGCATTTTGGTTTGGAAAGTAATGGAGTCCCTAATTTGGACTTTCACCTTAGATGTAAGCTACCATACGTGGCTGTTTATATTTTGTGTTATTGTTTATTAATTTACATATATTCTCATTCAAAAATTTGAGGTTCTTACATTTAATAAGACCCTCAAATGTAAGTTTATATATACAATAAAAGAAGATAATTGCTTCTAAAAGATTCAATGCCTTCTCCATCATATTAGACTCCGAACATGAGGTTTTCCACATCAATTTTCTTTTAGTTTTTCCCACAAATTAAGACCAGCATGTGATCTTTGTTTAGAGTTGGCAACTTCAAATTGGTTTATCATGTGCCAAATCAAGAGTGAGTAAACGAAAATGTTGACATTTTCATTTTGAAGAAAAATAAGAGAAGAGGACAGTGATTGAGGAAGTAATCAATGGTTGGTTTGAAAAATAAATAATTAGAATGCAATTGTAATTAGAAACATTTCTTACTCTCTCTTGCTTTACAATCATTCATATTTAGTGTCGTAACGTGCTGGGTCCGGGATCCCGACGGCTAGACGTGAAAGTACTTGAGGAGTCACCACCAACCTTTTTTTCCAAATCTAGGTGTGATTGGCCACCTAATAAATTTATTCTCTTGGACAAAATTCTAAATTAGTTTTAAGTCTATCAAAAGAACAATGAACTGGTCTACGTATTTTGTTTAGAGTTGGGTTCAGGAATACGGTTATACACAAGGAAGGATTAGTACCTCTATGACGCCTGTTCCACCAACGGTACCATTTAGTCATATTTTATCCTAACTCGTTAATTTTGTTTATATATTTTTTTAATTTGATTCATTTGATTCATCTTTTATTCTATTAGCAAATTAAATACACTTTATTTGATTTTTTTAGTGCTTGATGTACAGGTGATGCAATCGTGCCATGCATGGCATAAAATCGAGATAATATCAAACGAAAACCTTTTATAGAATGTCCTTTTTGAATCCGCCCATTATGCTGGTGGGATCCGAGAGTATCCTCTCACCTAAGGAAAATGCTCGATGAACTTGCCTTCGCAAGTTTTACGAGTAGTTCTCATAATCGAGGTAATTGTTTGCGAGTAAAAATAACGTTTTCATAAATGCAAATCCTAATACAAGCAAAAGCTTTTTATTAAAAATATTTCTCCGAACCCTCCCATCGTACTGATGGGATTCGGGGGTATCTTTTCACCTAGAGAGTTTACCAAAAAAACTCGCATTCGCAAGCTTCCTCGAAAAGTCCCATCATTGGGGCTTATTGCTTGTATACAAAATATTTCTATATGTCATGACATTTAACAATGCACCATGGTACATGATGTACTTAATTTCAATATTTGTTTCTTTTTTATGTGCGCGTATTTATTGTGAATAAATATTTTACATTTCTACTTTTATTTTTTTATTTTCATTCCGTTATGTATATTATTACGTAAATACTTATGAGATTTTCCAAGATCATGTTTTCATACTGAATTTTTTTATTTTTTTATTAATTTATTAATTTTTTATCATTTTTATTATCTTTTATTTTATTGTTATTTTATTTTTTAATTTCATAATTATTTATACGTATCCTATTCATTTTGTATTGTTAAGATTAACTAATTTATTGACACCATTAATTTTTTTATTTTTTTTATTTATATATTTTGATTATTTGATAAGTGTGTATATTTTGTTTAGTTAAAATTAAAAACACTCGAAATTTCAAATTTAGACCCTCCACTGGTGGGGTCCAAATCAAAATCCTTAACCTAAGAAAATTCACTTGAAATTGCGACTTCACGCGTTCCAAATGATCATCCCATCATCGGTCTCGATCCTAAGACGTTTATTACATTTTTCTACATTATCATTCTAATGTCATTATTATTATTATTATTGTTTTCTAAATTATTATTATTATTATTTTTTGTTTCTTGTTTTTTTTACTATTATTGACTATCCACTTTTGCCTTATTATTTTACCATTTTTTACACATATATTTGGTCTTAATTAAATCTACTTATTTCCTACTTACAAATATTCATCATAAATATATTTTATTTTTTATCAATCTACCTAATTTATTTTCCTAGAATGGTCTAAAATGATACCAAAATTACATTTTTATTAGATAAAATGGCCTAGACCCAAAATCAATAAGCCTACAAGCAAAAGAGCAATGTTTATACCACTTTGGGCTCATATTGGCCCAGCTCGCAAACCCACGGAGGGCCCAAGCTTACTGCACCAATCTGTCTCCTGAGGCCCACAAAGCTGAACTCCAAAACGCACAGCTTCAATAAAGTCTTCTCTCTCAAAACGACGCCGTTTAGGTGGCCCTAAGACCTAAGTATTTAAACTGTCTTTTCTCTTCTCCCCCTCATTTTCAGCTTCTTTTTCTCTCTCTAGCCGTGTGTTCTCTCCCTTCTCTCTAACTTTTTTTTTTCTTTTCTTCTTTCTTTCTTCTTCTTCCCCTCGCCGCCGTCTCTCCTTCTTCCCGCCGGCGTTCCTTTCTTCGTCCTCTTTCTTTCTCTTCTCCCCTCTCTCCGCACCGACAGCCTTCCCTCCTTTTTTCTTTTCTTCCTTCTCCTTTCTTCTTCCCCGCGCCGACAGCCTTCCCTTGCCGCCGTCTTTCTTTCTTTTTCTCCTTTTCCACGCCGGCCACTCTTTTTTTTTTTCTTCACTCACCAACCGGCGGACCTTTTCCCCCTAAAAACCGGCAACCATCCGGCGGCACTTTGTTTCTCTTTTTTTTTTTATTATTTTTGTGTGGTTCTCGGCTGCTAGAAAATTAGGATTTCTTGATTTTTGCTCTCTGTGCTGTTTTTTAGGCAATCCAGAGGTGAGCATGATTTCACTAAACACTGGGCTGGAAGGGAGTTTGGTGTCGGAGCTGACCACTCCCTTCCATTTTCGGCTGCCAGTCAGGGGCATTAAATGCCCCGTAATGGCCTGTTTACTTTTTCAGCTTTTTTTTGTCAAAAACTTTTAAAAAACAAAAAACATTTTTTTTGAATTTTTTATTTTAAAACAAAGTGTCTACGTTTAGGCATAACAATAGATGAAGAGTTGTATGTTCTTTCAGGATATAATTAAGTGATTATGGAATCAGTAAACTTGTGTGCTTTATAGTAAAACTTCTTGTGTTTTGACAAGCATGATTTGTAACGGATGACTCCAAATTATGATTTGGTATGAAGGGTTAGAATTAGAGTATTCCCTTGAAAGAGGCCGTCTATCTCCTTT